CCCAGCCGGATCGATATGTGAGGGTCCTGGGGCCCGACAAGAATGCGACTACGCCCCGCTTGAAATAATTGAGACGCCAGGATCTCAGGGTGTTCAAAACGAGTACCCAAACCAGACCCAGACATGCGACGTCCTGATTTGTTCTATACGGGGTCCCTGGAAGTCCCGACCCTTTCCCCGTGACCGGATTCCCGGCCTGAGTCGTTTTCTGACGGTCACGACGCCCGGAGAGGGCCCCCCGAGTCAGAAAATAGCGAAACAAGTTCCGTCCTGATTTTTTAACGACGCGATCATGTCTGGGGAGGAGAGTTAGGAGACAAGTGCGGCCCAGGCTGATGCTGGTGGACGCGGCCGCGTGCGAGGAGGAGGAGAAGGAGGAGGAGCGAGGCGAAGAAGGAGGAGGAGGAACGAGGAGAAGGAGGAGCGAGGAGGAGAAGGAGGAGAAGGAGGAGAAGGAGGAGGAGGAGGAGGAAAGAAGAAAAATAATAATAAGACAAACAAAGCAGCCCAGGCTGATGCTGGTGGACGTGGCCGCGTGCGACGACCTCGGGAGGACCGCCTCCGCCGCGGGCACCCGCGGGCTGGCGGCTCTGAGGGCCGCGCTGCGGCCGTGCCGCCCCCTGAAGGCCGTGCGCTCGCTGTCCAACAGGAGCCGGCGGCGCGCACGACCCGCACCCCCTCCCAGACGCGATCGCGTCGTAAAAAAATTGTGACGGGAGGTTTTTTGCCGTTTTCGGTTTCGGGGGGCCCTCGCCGGGCCTCGGGAGCGTCAGGAGACGATTCAGGCCGAAAAACTGGTCCCATGGAAAGGGTCGGGGCTTCCAGGAACCCCGCATCGACAAAAAATCAGGACGTCGTATGTCTGGGCTCGTGCAGTGACAAAAACACGACGGGAGGTGTTTCGCTATCTCTGGCCTCCGGGGAGCCCTGCCGGGCCTGTAGGGCCCCCCGAAGGGAAGGGGTCCAGGGGAAGGGGTCCAGACCTTCGTGGGTCGACGCTGTGAACAAGCCATGAAGTCCGAGGGATTGCGTAGGGGTTTGGAGCCCCCATCGGCGGCGCGCTTGGGGGGGGGGAAGCGAGAGGGGGCGGGCCCTCGCGGAAGGCTCGGAGGGTCTTTTTAGAAGCCCTCGCGCCTCCTGGGGAGCTTGCTGCGCGTCTTCGGAGAAGGCTCAGGGCACTTCTCTTCTGAAGGCCCGAGACCATCCGAGCCCGGGGTGGGGGGGGCGAGAGGCGGTGTCCAGGGCGGGAGGATATACATAACCACCGCCTGGAGAGTGAGTTTTCGGAGCCTCGGCAGGCGGTGGATACGAGCTGCTATCGGCACGATTGTGACATAGCATTCGAATGCCGAGCAGCGCCGCATCCTTTGAGACATCAGGTGAAACCTGAGGGCGAGATCCGTAGATCTCTTTAAGGTTCAGTTTCGTTTTGTGTGAGAGAGAGAGAGAGAGAGAGAGAGGGAGGCCCGCCTCCCCCTCCGAAGCACGCTCCCTCTCAGCCCCCCTGGCGAGCCCGCGTCCCCAGACGGCGGAGACTTCTGCTGGCATGGGGGAGGCTGCCGAGGATGGCGAGGAGAATGTACTAGTGGAGGCCCCCCCCCCAACCTCATCGACGCGGGGGGCCTGTACCGCTGCGGCGCCTTCGACGACCAAGATAGGCCGCAGGGAGAGTATGTGCTGCGCATCGACGGAGTCTACGCCGCGACCAGCGGAGGACAGTTCGCGCGGGCCACCCAGATCTGCTGTAGTGATGGATACTGGTCGTGGTGGATGGCGCACCCAGTCGAGCAGGGCGGCGCAGGTCGCGTGCTGTACCACTTCTGTGCGCGCGAGATGTGTGTGGCAGAGCCTCCTGCTCCCAGGATCACCGTCATCCACGTCTCCGAGTTCGAGGAGATCGACCCCGCCGAGCTGGCGGAGTTCTACAGAGAGTGCAGGCCCACTGACGCCTGGGCCAGATGGCCCGAGGACCTCGGGCCCGAGCCAGGAGGAGACGTAGTTGAGAGTGGCTCGCCCGAGGCAGACGAGTATGGCATGCCGCTGGACAGCTGCCGAGAGCGAGCGGCGCCGCGGGCTGCCGTCGCCGCCAAGCCACGGGCCGCCGCTCCCCTCCCAGGGGCGAAGCAGGCCGCGGCTCAGCAGCCCTCCCCGCTGGAGGCCGCGGGGGCTCGGCTGGCAGCTGACGTGCCTGAGGCGCGCGACGCGGGGTTCCTGCGCGCCCGCCTGGAGCCGCTGCGCGGCGCGCTGCAGCCTGGCCAGGGCGGGGCGGCGACAGCGGAGCGCCCTGCTGGCGGAGCAGCCCCTGCCGCTCCCCGCGGCGCCACGAAGCGGCCGGTGGAGGAGGTTGTTCGGGAGCGTGCTGGCAAGCGGCGGCCGCCCGACGTGCTCGCAGATCCTGCGGGGGCTGCTTCAGCCGCGGGCGTTGGCGGGAGTGGCGAAGGACCCCTGCTCCAGCTGCTACTCGAGGCGGCGTCGAGCAGGGGCAGCTCTGCGGACCTCTTGCAGTCGATGCTCGGAGCCACCAGCGGGAGCAGCGATGGGGCCGTGCCGCGTGGACTGGCCACTCGCCGAGGTCACTTCCGCCAGATCGCCGCGAAGTTCCCTGGCCTCCTCCCGGAGCAGACCCGGGCCAAAATGAGCGAGTATGTTACCGCCCAGGTCGGGGGCGAGACGGCCGAGGAGCTTCCGCCGATCATTCTCAAGGATTTCCTTAACGTGTTCATCCCGCAGAACCCGATCAAGTCCATCGGGATCGAGGTCATCGCGAGATGCGGACGGTGCGCGAGGCAGCGGACGCCATCCTGTCAGGCAAGACGTCCTATGCCCTCGATGTGCTGAGCCAGCGCTTCAAGGCGTTGCAGCTTTTCGCGATTGATAAGGCCTGGTCAGGAGCGCGCTGGCTAGAACTCACCCCACCGTCGAAGGAGCAGCTAGCCCTCAGGACGGAGGATGAGGAGATCGTCCGCGCCGTGGAGTTGGGCGAGCTGCGCCTCGAGGAGCTCCTAGCCAAGCTCAAGAAGGGCTAGGGGCTAGGCCGGGAGAGGGAGCCGTCGAGGAGCAGCTCCCCTCCTGTAGGCCAGCACGGCGGGGGCCAGGGCAAGGGGTCGCTGAAGCGGCCTGGAGCTCGGACGCCCGCGGACCTCGTCAAGGATCTACCTTCGCCACCTGGGGCCGCCTCGACTCCGAGCCGCCCAGCCCCAGGACCAGCGAGGACAGCGCAGCTGCGCGACGACGACGACTCCAGGGGGAACCCGCACAAGGCGCTCTCTTGGAAAGCTGTCAAGGGGGCCCACCCGAAGAGGCAGGGCGAGACGCGGGGCGCCTACGGCATGCGCCTCAGGAAGCTGATGCAGGAGGCGCGGGGCCGCCAGGGGCGCCCCGCGCGCTAGGCCGCGCGGCCACGTCGGCCGTCGCCGCGGGGGCCCACTGGCCAGAGTCATTGCCAAAGTTCACTGGCTTGACTCAGTGGCGGGCGGCTGCCTCTAGAGCTGCCCCCGACACGCCTCGCTTGCTGGCCCTGGGCGTCGCCGTCATCACCTTGCACTGGCAGCACCCTGGTCGACTTGGGAAGTTGCGCAGAGAGTTTCGTGCACACCTTCCCTCGACTGGAGGGCCGCAGGTAAGGTCGCGAGATCCATTGCCGATGGCCCTCCCCGACCTTTCGCTTGCCAGAGCGCGGGTCGCGCCTCAGGGCGAGCCGAGGAGAAGACGACAAAGGTTTCGCGCTGGCGGGCGCTTGGTTGCCCGAGAGATATGGGCATACCTGGCAGTGCTGCCCCTGAACTTCGAGTACGCTGGCGGGGGTGATCCGCGCTTATGGGAGCACCCCCCCGTGCTGCACCTTGCACAGAGGACCGCGTACCAGACCATCATCGCGCATGTTGGCGGTTTCCTGGGGGGGCCGCTGGTGCGCCAGCCGAGCGTGGACTGGTCCACGAAGGTCTCCAAGCTCAGGGTCGACTACACGGGCGAGGAGCAGAGCGTGGCCCCGCCGACTCGCCTGGCTGAGCTGATCCCAGGTCTTTCCTACAAGCAGTACGCCGCGCAGCTCCAGACGGAGGAGTTCGTCGACGAGCACATCCTAGAGCGGCTTCTGGACCCCGAGGCTGTTACCCTGCCCCCCGCGGAGTGGCCCGATGCTCCACCTCGAGCGCGGGTCAACTGCGAGAAGTTGGAGGACTGGTGCGAGGTGGCGGAGCACCTCTTGGGGCTGGGCACCCTGGGGGTGGTCCGCGAGGCGGACATCTTCGCGCCGCACGGCCAGGAGGTTTTCACCGGCCTGTTCGCCCGCGAGAAGAAGGGTAAGCCGCTCAAGGGGCAGGTCCGCTGTATTCGTCTCATTGTCAACATGATATCATCCAACCCCTACTTTCGGAACATCGTGGGGGACACCGCGACCCTCGCGGCGTCGACTACATGGATTAGCACCAACTTGCAAGCGGGGTGCGTTATAGTATGGAGCAGCGACGACCAGAAGGGCGCCTTCTACGTGTGGAAGCTGCCGCCGGCGTGGCGGGGCAGGATGGCCGTGTCAGTGCCCGTGCCTGCCAGCGCCGCGGGGCTTCCAGGCGACCAAATCGTCTATGTTGCGTTTCGGGTCTACATCGACGACTTCGACGCCCCCGAGGTCATGCAGGCGGCCGAGGCTTACCGCGTCGTGGGCGCGCCTGGTGAGATGCAGCTCGCCATGCAGCAGGCCTGCGCCAGGGCGGAGGTTGCCTACACGGGGGACAAGAGCCACGCGAGGCAGCTACAGCTCGAGCGGATGGGCGCCTCGTTGGACGGTAGCGTCGGCACGGCCAGAGCGCCTACCGACAAGACGATCGAGCTAGTCAGGTGCATCTTGTACGCGCTAGGCCGCGACTACTGCCCGCGGCTGCTCATGCTCACGCTGCGGGGGCGGGCAGTCAGAGCACTGGGATTCAAGCGGCCGCTCCTCAGCTGCCCCCACTCGGTCTGGGAGTTCTCGACCAAGACGGGGAGGGGGGGGGGGGCATCAACGCGGGCATGTCCCAGGAGCTCCTGATCTGTGTCGGCTACCTGCCTGTTGCTTGCACCGACCTGAGGGCCGCGCTGTCGCGCGCCGCCACGGCCTCGGACGCCTCGGAGAGCGGCGGAGGTGCTTATCGTGAGCCTCTTCGATGGCGTCGCCGCGCTGGCGGTCGCGATGTCCAGGTTGCCCGTCGACGTCATCGGCATGGTGTGCAGTGAGATAGACAAGCCCGCCAGGCGAGTGGTTCGGCTTCGGTGGCCCGGGGCCGCGGACTGGGGCGAAATCAGGTCCATCGCCGAAGCTGACGTCGTCAAGCTCGCTGACACCTACTACAGCCTGTGCGACGCCTGTGCGTGCGGTGCTGGCAGCCCCTGCCATGCGTCTAGCGGGGCCAACCGTGCTATGGCAGGGCCTGCAAGACCCCTCTCCGAGAGCTTCTACGGGTTCACGGCCTCCTACGCAAGCATTTCACGGGGGGGGTCGAGTTCCTGGTTGAGCGCGTTGCCTCCATCAGCCCGCAGGACAGGAAGGAGATGATCGAAGTGCTGGGCGTCACACCGACGCAGCTCTGCTCCTCGGTTTTCGTCCCTGCTCGCCGCCCGCGGTACTACTGGTGCAGCTGGCCGCTCGAGATGCGGGGTGAGATCGCAGTGGGAGAGGCGTGCCAGGGCCACCAGTGCTGTCTGGCGGCGAGGCACACCCACGGCACGACCGTCCCGCTCGATTGGGTTACCGCGGGCTGGACCTGGGGAGGTGGGGACGGTCCTGCCCCTACGCTCGGGTGCCCACGCCCCACGGCGAGTGGGCCCACGATGCCCGCAGGCCTTCGCACTGCTTCCGAGGCCGCGAACATGGGATGTGCTCTGGGCGGCCATCGTTATCATCTGGGCTGGTACGAGGAGAGCAGCGCGCTTCGGATTGACAAGGGTGGGGGTCTTCGCACACCGAACCCCGAGGAGGGAGAGAGAGGCTCGCTTGGGACTCGACAGACCCTACACCAGAGTCGCCCACAAGGACCCTGAGGCCCTCGGGATCTCCGATGCGAGGGATTTCCTGCTTGGCAATTCCTACTCGGTCTACTCCGTCACCTGGCTCCTCCAGCAGCTGTTTCTGGCTCGAGGACTCCTCGCTAGAGAGCTTCCCGCCGAAGCCCTGTGCCACGGGGGGGCCTGCCCGCTGTCCTGGGGCGAGGTCGGCTCTTACGCGAAGGGCGCCGCGGAGTGCGGCAAGAAACTCGCGCCGCAGCTCACTGGAGAGATCCTCGCACTCAGCGTGCGAAGTGGGAGTGACATCAGACTGGACGTTGGCCTACCGCATCGGCCGCGGGCGTGGCCACGGGCGAGCATCAGCCCCCTCAACTGGCATTGGCGGGTCGGGGCCTCGCTTCGGTGGCAGGACAAGGGCGACCCCCATATCAACGCCTGTCAGCTGCAGACAGGGGTCGCAGCCTTGCTGTGGCGCTCGCGTTCCAGCAAGCACCTCAACGTCAGGTTCGTCCACTTGTTCGACTCTCAGGTCGTGGCTGCTATCGCGACAAAGGGGAGGTCGTCGAGCGTCAGACTGCAATTGCTCCTGCGAAAGTGGTCCGTCCTCTGCGAGACAGGAGGCCGCTACCTGGTCGCGGGGTATATCACGACAGAAGACAACCCAGCAGACGCACCATCCAGACGCCAGTGGAAGGCCAGAGGCAAGGGCAAGCCGTCCCTGACGCCCCAGAAGGTCCGCAGGCACTCCTTCAAAGGGCGAGGAGGGCGCACTCAGCGAAGCGTGGTACTCGGCTGAGGCTGCTCCGAGTTACGGCCACCACCTTGGGCCGCTACAGAGCAGCCATCACGAGGGTGCCTGACCACTGGGACGCCATAGGCCTGTGGCCCTCGGGGCCCCTGGACATCGACGAAGGGATCGCCGAGTATATCGAAATGCTGCGGAGTGAGGACCAGCCTGTCAGTATGGCGAACTATGCCGTCGCCTCCATCGGTTTCTTGTCCCCCCTCCGTGAAGCAGAGCCTAGGGCTGTCCTGGAGCCTGCTGAAAGCCCGGAGGCGATGCGAGCCACAGGTGCGAGCCCTACCTTTTACACCCGAGCTGATCCTGGGCATGGCTGCCGTGGCCATCAAGTGCGGGGCGAAGGACGTCGGCGCGCTCCTCGCCCTGGGCTTCGCTGGACTGCTGCGCACGACCGAGCTGTTCATCATCTGCAAGCAGCAGGTGGCGATCATCAGCGGCAAGGTCACCGTGCGGCTGCCTGAGACCAAGACAGGTTACCGCAAAGCGATGACGGAGATGGTCGTCGTTGACTGCCCTGTCGCCGTCGGGCTGGTCAGGAGGCAGTGGCACGATCACGCCATGCCTTCGGACACTATCAGCCGAAGGACGCCATCCCAGCTCAGAGCTTGCCTCAAAAAGCTGCTGAGCTTCTTCCGACTGGACGGTTTTCGATTATCGTGGTACTCCTGCCGCCGAGGAGGTGCCACGTACGACTTCATGTCACATCAGAGTATGGAGACAACCATCATGAGAGGACGCTGGGGATCAGCCACGACAGCAAAACTATACATCGAGCAGGCTGTCGCCGACATCGTGCAAGTAACACCAGCCCAAGAGGATGATGAGTTGATTCGACACTTTGCCTGCCAGCTGTATCGTTCTATATGCCAGTACAGAGCTTAATTATGCTTGTAAAATAGAGATATTGAGACACGGCGCGTGAGTTCCCCCCTCGCCAATTTTGCGAGTCCGTGGAATACCCCATGCTGCTTAGAGGCTAGCCGCCACTCCGCTCTGACCCACCCGGCGTACCCCAACCCAGACCCTCTTGGGTCTAAAGCTGCTTGATTATATCCAACAAGCCAGCGTGTCCCTGGGGTCGCCTTGAGGTCTCCTGAGGCTTCGGGGGGAGGTCTGAGGCGGACTCTGGCCAGGCGTAGGCCTCTCCAGCTGGTGGTTGCTAGCGCCGCTCGCCACAGAACCCTTGGCGTGGGAAGGTAGAAAAGTAAGAGTGATGAGCTGCTATCGGCACGATTGTAACATAACATTCGAAGGCCGAGCAGCGCCGCATCCTTTGAGACATCAGGTGAAACCTGAGGGCGAGATCCGTAGATCTCTTTAAGGTTCCCACCCGCGGACCACCCAATAGTAGTGCTAGGCCTACTGCAGGAATGCGAGGTGAATACCCCATGCTGCTTAGAGGCTAGCCGCCACTCCGCTCTGACCCCCCCCCCCCTCAGGCCTCGGCGTACCCCAACCCAGACCCTCTTGGGTCTAAAGCTGCTTGATTCTATCCAACAAGCCAGCGTGTCCCTGGGGTCGCCTTGAGGTCTCCTGAGGCTTCGGGGGGGGGGGTCTGAGGCGGACTCTGGCCAGGCGTAGGCCTCTCCAGCTGGTGGTTGCTAGCGCCGCTAGCCACAGAACCCTTGGCGTGGGAAGGTAGAGAAGTAAGAGCTATGGATCTATTCGGGCCCCCCGGGGCCGAAATATATCCATATCCTCCGCCCGCTGGGGCACCAGGACGTAGGTTCCCAGGCGGTGGATATGGACGAATCCCCGCCTCGCAGGGCGGGCCGTCGCAGACGGCCGGGAAGGTCTCTCGAGCCTCCTGAGGTCAGTCCTCCGAGCCTTCTCTCCGAAGGCACGTTGGCCCTGGCCGCACGCCCTGGCCCAGCCTCCAGGCGCTCACCGCAGCACGCCCTGGCCCGGCCTCTGGACAGCAACGTCAGAAGTCGGGAGCCTCGAGACGGGGGTCGATGCGAACGGGGGTCCGCCAAAGCGCCCGATCTTGCAGGATCCTGCAGGGCCAGGGTCGCACTGGCCCGGGCTTGGGTGCAGGATCCTGCAGGATCCTGCGCATTGACCCGGGCTTGGGTGCAGGATTTTGCAGGATCTTGCAGGAGTTTGCAATTGACCCGGGTCTGGATCGACCCGGGTCAGAAGATCCCCGAAGAAAACGTTGTCTCGTCTCGTTCTCGTCGGTTTGATTCACGTCCACAGGCACGTTAAGCTTCTCGGAGGGCGCGGGGGCCGCTGAGAAGCCCCGCCGCCGTCTAAGAGCAGGCCTGCTCCCTCTCGCCTCCCGCCGTCGCAGCAGGCTCGGGGGGTCCCTCGGGCCTTCTGGGGCAAGTGTTAAGTCGGGCACATCCCTCCACAGGAGGAATATTCAAGAAGAGTCCAACAAATAGTCTGGAGACGATTTTTGTTAGTATTGTTTGACTGTTTTGGGGCATGTTGAAAGGTATCTTTACTTTTTCATTCAAAATCCGCCTGCAGGGGGACACACCCGACCCAAGACAAGTTCCCGGAGCCTCCTCCGAAGACGCGCCCAGACTTCCCAGGAGGCGCGAGGGCTTCTGAGCAGCCCCGCCGCCCTCCGAGGAGGCCTCCCCCCCCCTCGCTTTATGATTCAAACGGGCATGTCCCTCTACAGGAGTGATATTCAAAGAATAATCGAAAAGTCGCCTGGGGACAAATTTTCTAATATTCTTCAATTTTTGTTGGGCATTTTTTGGCTACTTTGTTGTTCGTCCAAGATCCGCTTGAAATCCGCCTGCAGGAGTAAATGCCCGACCTAGCTATGATGTTCCAACCGATCCTGGCCCTGATGGCCAGCAAGAAATTTGGGCACCAAGCAGGTAGCGAGGCTGGAGGGTTTCCTCGCGTCGGGCCACGAGAGGAGATGCTCGTTCGACACCGTCTCGATACCTTTTCGGGGTGCTCGAGATTATTTCTGGGAGGTGGTCCTCAAGTACAGCGGAGGCCCATGCCAAGAAGCACCCTGCTTGCCTCCAGGGTGCCCTGGGTGTCTTGGGCTTCGAGAGCTCTGCTATGGCGAGCGTGACGCTCCCACGCCAGAATCCGAAATCCATGGATGTCCTGGGGTCTCGGGGCTGGGTTTCCTGTGGAAGGCTTCCTGTGGACTGACCTCCACTCTGAGCACGCTGGGAGCAGCATAACGCCCTTGCTTCCCTCCTGGGGCGCGCCGGCGAATCTGGAGACCCCCCCACCCCCCCCTCGCGCCGTGAGAACAAGAGCATGGGCGGGAGGCATTTTCGAGGAGGAGGAGGAGGAGGAGGAGGAGGAGGAGGAGTCAGGGGGGGCCCTGGGCGGGGCCCAGGGCCGCCAAAGAACGGCTCGGGGCCTGGGGGTCGCCGCCATAAAGAAAATCGGGGCGTCGGGGGTTTGGGTTTCCAGCTGTTCCGGCGTTGTGTCGTTGAGTCCCCGAGTCGTTTCGCGCTCCAGGATGCTCCCCAGCAGCTGCGCCTCGCCGAGAGCGTTCCAGCTCGTCTGGGGTGCCCGAGAAGTCGTTTCGAGCGGCCGCTGGAGGAGACCAGAGTTCTGGCCCGAATGCAGAAGGCGGGGTCTTCCCAGACGCGCTTGGAGGCCTCTGAGGGGCCTTCTTTGGAAGCCCTCCTCCTCCTCCTCCTTCCTCCTCCTCCTCCTGCTCCTCCTCCTCATCCGCCTCCTCCTCGTCCTCCTCCTCGTCATCCTCCTCCTCCTCCTCCTCCTCCTCCTCCTCCTCCTCCTCCTCCTCCTCCTCCTCCTCCTCCTCCTCTTCCCTCCTCCTCCTAGGAAGGCTTCTGAGAGGCTTCTGGGAAGAGAGAAGGCGGCGGGCTTCTCAGAAGGCGGGGTCTTCCTAGAAGCGCCTGGAGGCCTCTGGGAGGACTGCTGTGGAAGCCCCGGAGGCTTCTGGGAAACCCACCTGCCCTTGAGAAGCTCGCCGCCTGGGAAGATCGCCCCACTCGCGCCACCCCGTTGCCATGGGATCCGACGTCGCGAAGGATCGTCGCAACATCGTGCGACATCGCGACCAGCAGAGCCCTCGACCCCAGATCCCCTCGGGCAGTGGCAAAATCATGACGGAAGGTTTTTCGCTGTTTTCGGTCTCCGGGGGCCTTTGCAGGGCCTCGGGAGCGTCAAAATTCAGGATGAAAACCCGGTCCAGGGGAAATGGGTCGAGACTTCTGAGGGTCGACGTCATGAAGAAAAACGTTACGTCGGGGATCAGGGACCGCATCTTTCCGCGGCATTCCCCGGGCCAGATCGACCCGCGAGAGCCCCAGGGGCTCGACGCCAGGCGATAAAACGCTGGATGCGACATGCAACTCGACGCGCCGATTTTCGGAATTCCTGCGCGCCGCCAGATTAGGGGGCCACATGTGAACCCCACCCCTACCCCCCACGACTTCTCAGCGAAGAGAACCCCACCCTCCCCCTCAGAAGTCGTGGGGGTAGGGGTAGGGTTCGCATGTGACCCCCTATAAATGTCGAGCGGGGCTAGGACCGGGATGACAAATCGTTCCAGAGGTCGGGAGCCTTGAGACGGGGGTCCATTCAAACGGGGGTCAGTCAGAGCGCCGGCTCTTGCAGGATCCTGCAGAGCCAGGGTTGCTTTGACCCGGGCTTGGCCGCAGGATCTTGCAGGATCCTGCAGGATCCTGCAGGATCCTGAAAGCCCTGACTGACCTTGGGTTCGATGGCCCCGTGTCAGTTTCGGGGAGAGGTAAGACTCGAGAACGCCGGAACTCGGGAGTGCCGACGTTTTTTGACGAGTGCGTCCTGGATGTTGACGGTTCAGTTTTCCAGGGAAGATTGGGCCTCGTCATTTTCATGATGGCCCCGTCAGGCCAACCCGAGTCCCCCGCCCGAGCCCGAGTCTTACGTCTCCTCGACAGTAGATCCCCGAGCAGTTCCTGGAGCGCTCTCAGACCACCCAGGAGAGCGCTCGAGGGTGCGGCCGCCGGCGCCCGACACGTCCTCCCAGGCCACCAGGTCTCGGAGATCTCCCCGCTCTGTCTCGGACTCCGAGGTGGTCTTGGTCCTGGCACCCCCCCTGACTCCACCTCCTCCTCCTCCTCCTCCTCCTCCTCCTCCTCCTCCTCCTCCTCCTCCAGATCCGCCATACTTGTGTGGACCTCCCATTCTCAAATCGTGCCGGACATGTACCCCACACGATGCAAGAGGGAGACGTAGGGCGGACACGTCCGCCTCAGAGAGAGACAGGGCGGACACCTCGGCAGAAGTGGTTGGCGGAGACAGCGACGGCGAAGCGGGACGGAAATCGACGTCCACGGAGCTTGAACCGCACGGCGAATCTATGTGTATCTTCATCGATGTATATATATATATATATATATACCAGTATATACATATAGATGTGTATATATGTATATACATGTTAATTATACACATAGATGTACATATACATATGTGTGTATGTGTGTCCTCCTCCTCCTCCTCCTCCTCCTCCTCCTCCTCCTTCTCCTCCTCCTCCTCCTCCTCCTCCTCCTCCTCCTCCTCCTCCTCCTCCTCCTCCTCCTCCTCCTCCTCCTCCTCCTCCTCCTCCTCCTCCTCCTCCTACCCCGCACGTGCCGTGCTCCAAAACGTCCGTGTCAATGCGCTGCGTGTTGGCTCGGCGTGTTGGCCCACGCTTCCGCCACCCACCTGGCCACCCCGACCCAACCCGAAGGCCCGCGTTTGCCCTCCATTCCCAGAGCGGGGGGGGGCGTCCGGGAGCATGGAGAAAGCACATGCGGAGCCCGTACCCCCCCTCCAACCCGAAACTTGGGTCCTCGGGTTACTGGTTGGGTTGGTCACGTTTTGGCAATAATGCCGCGCCAGACCTGCGCGTTGTGTTGAGCTCCGTATCAACACGCTGCGCGCTGCGTGCTGCGCATCAGGGCAGCTAAGGAAGCCTTCTCAGTGGCCGCTGGGCCCCAGGGGCCTCCGCCTTCGCAGAAGCCCTCCCCAGTCCCAGACCCCCTGGCGCTCACGGCGTGAGGTTTCTGTCTATTTTCGGCCTCTGGGGGCCCTTACCGGGCCCTGGGACCGTCAAGAAACGACTCAGGATGAAATACCGGTCCTGGGGAAGAGGTCCAGACCTCTGGAGGTCGACGTCTTGAAAACTCACGACGTCGGCGGTCTGGGTTCTCAGAAGCCTACGCCCCTCGCGACATCCCAATTGTGGGCTCCGCCACTTCGTGGAGCTGCCTCCACCAGGGGGTGGCTTTCGAGTCGTAACTTTGGTCTTTGGCGGGCGTTCGGGATGATCTGGGCACCCCTGGAACGCTCTCGGCGAGGCGCAGCTGCATCCCGACGCGGGAAGATAGCCAGGAACCTGCGAAAATGTCCGAAAGCCTTGAACAGACCCTTGACGTCGTGATTTCATCATAACGTCGACCCCCAGAAGTTTCGACCCACTCCCCGGGACCCCTTCTCCATCCTGAGTCGTCTTGTTGACGGTCCCGGGGCCCGGCGAGGGCCCCCAGAGGCCGAAAACAGCAACAACATTTGTGGAATCCAAAACCAGGATAGCAGGGCGCCCGAAGGGCGTGGAAAGGCCTTTCGAAGAATTCTGGAAGGACCTGGAGAGAGCTTCCGAAGGACATTCTGGAGAGCTTCCAGGCACGCGTATTGGGAAACGCTTAGCCTCTCGGGACACGCTGCAGGGTCAAGCAAGGCGCGCCGAGGTGCTTTCACGGAAGCCCGAATGACCTCTGGGGCCACCTTGCGGTTCTGGCTTCTTGATCTGAAACCCTCTTAGCTCTCAAGAGCTATCCAGGAAATTCCCCGTCGCCTTACCTGATGGGCCTGATTTCCACAACCACACTATAACATGGAGGAGGGGAGGAGGTGGAGGACGAGGAGGAGGAGGAGGAGGAGGAGGAGGACGAAGGGGATGAGGAGGAGGAGGAGGAGGAGGAGGAGGAGGGGGAGGAGGAGGAGGAGGAGCAGGAGGAGGAGGAGGAGGAGGAGCCCCTCCCCCTCCAACTCACGGTGGTGGTGGAGAGCAGGCCTATCATTACCGAAGGAGGCAGGACTCGATCATCAACCTGCTCCTCGACAGCTGCGTCGGCCCCTCGGCGGGGCCAGCGCTGCTGCTCGTGCACCTGGACCCGGGCGCGCGGGGCGGAGCGGCCACGGTGGCAGGCGCGCTTGGGCGGTCGTCAGGAGGGCCGCGCTCGGGGGCCCCCGATGCCCTCCGCCTCCTCGTCCTCGTCCTCCTCGTCCTCCTCGTCCTCCTCCTCCTCCTCGAGCCTCCTCGTCCCCCTCCTCCTCCTCCTCCTCCTCCTCCTCCTCCTCTTCCTCCTCCTCTTGCTCCTCCTCCTCCTGCTCCTCCTCCTCCTCCTCCTCCTCCTCCTCCTCCTCCTCCTCCTCCTCCTCCTCCTCCTCCTCCGTCTCCGTCTCCTCCTCCTCCTCCTCCTCCTCCTCCTCCTCCTCCTCCTCCTCCTCCTCCTCCTCCTCCTCCTCCTCCCCAGACTTCCGACGGATTGACACGAGCGGAGGCCCAGATCGCCGACGAGATGTGCTTCCCAACCATCCTGTTGTGTCGGGCCCTGGTTTTGAGGAGACAGCGCCCCGCGTCCCACCTCTCCTCCCCCTCCTCCTTCCATGTCGGCACGCCCCTCACACGCTTCGTGGCCGCATAGGGAGTTCCAGCGAAGGCCCCAGCGACAGGGTCCACATGCGGCTCCAGGGCTGGACCTACACGGTGTTTTTGGCGATTTCTTGGGCCGTTTTCGTTTCGACTTCGTTTTGCGGTAGAGGCGGATCCGAGACAAAAAAGCGAGGGAAAGCGAAAGCAAAACGCAAACGAAAAACACCGCTTAGGCTCAGCCCTGTGCGGCTCCCCGCTCACTGCATGTTCATATCGGCACACCCATTCCATGGTCCGTGGCCGCCGTGGCCCCATAGCCTCCCAAGAGAGCGCGCGGCGACCCCGGCCCCCTCCCGCGAATCGGGCGCGTTTGCATGCGAGCACGGCTGAAGCGCGAGTCAATTGCCCCACCCAACCACACCTCTCGTCCGCAAATCATGCGCAGGATTCGCTACCGCACAGAGAGCTCCACCGAAGGCCCCAGCGGCAGGGTCCACGTGTCGCCAGGCAGGTTTGCCCCGACGGGCGGCCCTCGGTCCTGTGGAGGGCGCTTCGGCCGCCAGGGCAGACGCCGCCTCGGGCGCGGCCGGTTTGCCGTGAGTCTGCCGCCTGGCGGCCTGGCTTACCTCCTCCTGCTCTTCCTGCTCCTGCTCCTCCTCCTCCTCCTCCTCCTCCTCCTCCTCCTCCTCCTCCTCCTCCTCCTCCTGCTCCTGCTCCTGCTCCTCCTCCTCGTCCCCCTCCTCCTCCTCCTCCTCCTCCTCCTCCTCCTCCTCCTCCTCCTCCTCCTCCTCCTCCTTGGGGTGCGGGGCTCAGGGTTTGCTGTGCGTTTGCCGTGGTGTCGGCGTCGTCCACCTGGGCGCGTCGAGGACACACGGCGCGGCGACGCGTGCGGCTCCCCGCCCGTCGCATGTCCATGTCGGCACGCCCAGCACACGCATCGTGGCCGCACAGGCTCCACCCGAGGCCGCAGTGGCAAGGCGCGCATGCGGCTTCCCGGCAATTCTGGCATGCCCCTCACGCGCTTCGGGCACCCATGGCGAGCTCCACCGACAGGCCTCAGAGGCAGGGCCCACATGCGGCTCCCCGCCCACAGCGTTTCCATCCCAGCACACCTCACACGTCTCGTGTCTCCAGAGGGAGCTCCCCCCGCTTCGCCCCGCCTGCCTTGCGGAGCTCGCAGTTGCATCTGGTCGGGTCTCTCGCCAGGCCAACTTTCAACCGGCGTTAGTCTTCGATTTCGGTCGATCGGGGGCCGCTTCCAGGCGCAGTGGCCATCAAAAACGGACCAGGGACGAAGGACTGCCTGCCACACAGGGTGTGAGGGGTTGGGACCTCTGGGGCCGCGGATTCCCAAGATCAGATCGGCGGACGTCGGGGGCCGCAGTGTTGCACGGCGTTCGGTCGCTGGGGCGTGGGACCGTCACAAGACGCAACGGTTCGGGACGAGAAGCGAATCCCCAGGGGCATTTTGCCGAGAGACCCCTGGGGGCCGCCGCCGCGACAAACGTCGCGACGTCGGGTGTCTGGGCCCCCGACGATCTTTATTTTTTCGGCCCGAGATCCTCAGATCCTGGCGTTGCCCTTTTCTCGCAACGGGCGCTGTCGCCCAGTGTCGGGCCCGGGGGCCCTCACAGATCGATGCCGCTCGAAAAATGGCGCGGGAAGAGAAGGTCCAAGGCTCCGGTCGTGATTTTTTGCGATGTTGCATTTTTTTGCGCCACGTCGGATGTGAGGGGAGTTCCTTTCTCGGGGGCGTCCAAGAGGGGGGCGGCGCAAATCATGGCCGGCGGCACGTGCGCGGCCGAGGGGGGGTCCGGGACGTATTGACATGAGAAGGGGCGCCATGGAATATGGGGAGATGGCATGGCCCCCGCCATGATATCCACCTCCCCCCTAGTCATCAACCCCGTCGTGGCCGCCTCCGGTTTTCCCAGGTCTCGTTCCCTGGAATGGCTAGGTCGCCTGATTTCGGGGCGGCATGGAAGTCGCCAGCAACAAAGACTATAAACGCTTGGTTCCTGCAGCACGAATTCCGAAAATCTGAAAAGCGGAAAATTGTGTGGCCATGGGTCTGCCGTCGGCTGAAGCCCTACACGCCGCCACGCTGGTCCAGGGCAGGCTGTGCTGCACGGTGGAAAGGGACGAGGAGGGGAGAAGCAGGCAGACGACGACGACCGCGCAGGCGGGAGGCCAGGGCCGGCGGGGCGGGCGGGCAGGCGGAAGAGGGGCCAGGCGGAGACAGCAGGCAGGGGGCAGGAGGAAAAAAAAGGGAGGGAAGAGAAGGAAAGAGGAAGCAACGGCGAGCAAATGGCCAGGCCAGGGGCAGGGAAAAAAGGGCCACCCGCGGCGAGGCTACGGACACGGCGGCGGCACCGACCAGGCGGCGCAGGCGTAGCGGTGGACTAGGCGGTGGGCGGGGGGGGGGATGCCTCACACGGCGGCCGCCGCGGAGGCAGCCGTGGCCGCGGCCACACAGGCCGCTGCCACCCCCGCCCCTCCAGACAGCGTCTGGAGGCGCCGCGCCACAACACCGCCCGCGCGCTCTCTCTGCGCAGCGAGACAGAAAGTCGCGGGGCGTGCTGGTCCGCAACCATTGCGGCGTCTTCCCCCGTGGCGTCAGCCACCCGCTTAGTTAGGACCCTGGAGGGTGCCTCGCCCCACCCGCCGCCGTGGGCTTCCACCACCATGGGTAGGAGGTGCAGCCCTGTGCCGCGCAAGGCCGCGCGGTGTCCGGGTGCTGTCATTTGAGCTCCTCGTCTCCTGGGGTTGGTTCTCGGGCCCAGGGCCTTCAAACATGGGCTTGGGGCGAAAAGCTACTGCCACCGAGTAGTGGTCGGCATTTGTGGGGCCGCGGGCTGAAACATCCAGATTGGCGGATGACATCCGTCAGTTTGATTTTTGCAGCAGGAAAAAATTGTGGCCCTGACATTGTCGGGACTTGCCATCGCCGACGACGACGGACCACCCCGGCGCCGCAGCAGAAAACGGGGACGGCCGGCTGGCCTCTCGCCGCGATCGGTCCAGGCCGCTTCTCCGTGCCCCTGGCCTTCAACAGAAGCGCCTCGGGGTGAAACGCTGGCCCCAGGGAAGCGATCCACCCCCAAGGTCCGACATTGCGAACAAAGTTGCAACATCGCGCAACGAAAATCACGATCGGGAGCCCCCATACCCAGCCTCTTTCGGAGGAGCTTGTCGAGCCGGATCGGTCCGGTGATGGTCCTGGCCCCCGAAGCCAAGCGAAAACGCCCAGTGCGAAAAAGCTGCAACGCGCGGATGTCAGGGAACCCTTGGGGGGCCGACGTCGACGAACACATGGCAGCGTCGGAGGAGACCCTGACTTTGGATCCGCCGTACTTTGGTTGATTTTCCTATGTGAAGTTGTGCCGGCAATGCATCCAAACGGTGCGAAAAAAAAACAGGGCGGGGATTTCCGCCTCAGAACAATTGGGACGGCCATGTCCGCGAAGGCGTGGCGGAAACAGCGACGGCAAAGTTGTGCGGAAATCTGCATCAAAGGAGCTTCAAACGCAGAGCGGAAATATCTGCCCACCCGAAGCACGGCAGATCCAAAGTCAGGGCGCCGCCGCAAGCAGCACGGAACCTCCCGTCGTGTTTTTGCTTCACGACGCGAGGGGTCTGGCCGCAATGCCGAGGCGGCCGCCGCTGCGGCCTCGACGGTGGCCGCCGTTGCGGCCTCGGCGGCGGCCGCGACAGCGCGGCACTAGCTGCGCGGAAAGCGCGGAAGGTACAGGTCGAGGGTGGGGAGGTGTTCGGGCGCTCCGCTACCAAATGGGGCGGCGTTGGTCCCAAAACTTCAGGGCTGCCTTCTCCGATCCGCGGCTCTGGCGCCCACGCGCCAGATCCACGGATCTCTTTCGGCGGCAAGCCCAAGGGGGAAACGAGAGGGAAGGGGCCTACTCAGAGGGCCGCGGGCCTTCTCAGAAGCCCTAGGGCCTTCTGAAGTGTCCTGAGCAGGTAGAGACGCCTTCTCAGCAGGCCAGAGGGAGTCTGAGAAACCCCGCAGGCCTTCCGAGAAGGCCTGCCCCTGCTCACTTCCCCTGAGATCCGACGTAGCGAAAAAAATACAACATCGTCAAAAATCACGCCCGGAGCCCTGGACACCATCTTTTTGCTTAATTTTTCAAGCCGGATCGATATGTGAGGGTCCCGGGCCCCAAAATCCGGCGAAAACGCCGGTCGTGAGAAAATTGCAACTCTCGGGGTCCTTTCTGGGCGCGCCGCCGACCCTGATCCATGTCAAGCGCGCGCCCGACAGGCGCGCTCGCGTTCGCGGAGAGGGTCGCGTTCCCCTCCGGCCCGCAGCGCGCGGCGGCGCCGACGTGGCCGCCGCCCGGGGTGCGCTTCCGGAACGGGCGCTACGTCGCCGCCGCGGCCGCGGGCCCGCAGGACGGCGGGACGGCGGGGCGGCAGCACCCCAGACATGATCGCGGCGCCGAACAATCAAGACGAGAGGTTTTTGCCAGTTTTCGGCCTCGGGGGGGGGCCCTCGAGGTTTTTGCCAGTTACTCCCGCCCAGACATGATCGCGCTGTTCAAAAACCAGGACGGGAGGTTTTTGCCAGTTTTCGGCCTCGGGGGGCCCTCGCCGGGCCTCGGGACCGTCACAGACGGCTCGGGACGAAAAGCCAGTCCCGGGGAACGGGTCGGGACTTCCAGGGACCCTGCATTCGGGTGTTCCCAGAGGTGCCCCTGGGCCAAGGTGCCCCAAGGATTCTCGGGGGGGTCCCAGACGGCCTCCAGAGCACCTCTCACGAGGCCCAGAGAGCCTCAGGGACTCCAAAATAGAGTGAAAATCTGAGGGCACCTTGGGCCAGGGGCACCTCCAGCAACACCCGACGCATTGAAAAAATCAGTGCGTCGCATGTCTGGGTCGGAGCGGTGCGATCGAGATGGGTATACGTTTGGATGCAGCTCCTGGGAGGTGGAGTTCTGACTCTGCCCTGGTCCGAAATCCGCCTTCGTCCTGCTTGATCCCGCTTTATTCGGCTTGATCTGGCATAATCGCGTCGAATATAGAGCTTAATCCCGCCCAAACATGATCGCGTCGTAAAAAACCAGGACGGGAGGTTCTTGGCCGTTTTTGGCCCCTGGTGGCCCTCGCCGTGCCCCGGGAGCGTCAACAAGATCGGCTCGCGATGAAAATCCGTTCCCGGGGAAAGGGTCGGGACTTCCAGGGACCCCGTCTTGAATAATTCAGGACGTCGCATGTCTGGGCGTGTAATCCGCCGGCGCAACAGCCCCCCAATGAGGCTTAGTCCTCCTTATGATCCTTCCAACGGAGACCTCCCAGCAGTTGCCTCCCAAGGTACGGGAAGAATGGGTACGAGGTCGGCGGCGAGCCCGTGGGGGGAAGTCAGAGGGGGCGAGCCTGATCAGAGGCTCGGAAGGCCCCAGGCCCTCTGAGAAGTTGTCTGGGCCTTCCCCGAAGATGCAGAAAACGTCTCAGAAGGCCGGGGGGCTTCCGAGAAGCTCCGCCGCTTTCTGAGAAGGCCTTCTCCCTCTCACTTCCCCCTCGCTCGCCGCCGACGAAGACCGACAGCATGTCCTTATCATTAATGGCAGGACTCGCTGTCGGTGTTGCCGCGGACGTTGTCCATTTGAGGCAGAAGCCCGTCTGCCC